TTTTCACCCCTTCTGTAGGCAGCAAGCACAGCGAGGCCCACAACCTCTGTGCCCGATCCGGAGGAGTTTTGTTTCTCCTTGAGGGACCAGCCCAGACATCCCTGGACAGTCTTCACCCTTGGGGGTTTGTGGCAGGAAAGTCTGATTACCCAAAACCCTGGGAGAGAAGTCTTGATCTTAACAAGACCTCATTTGACCTATATAGTTGGGGAGTGAAAGGACACACCTGAGGAAACTTCTGCAGAATCATAAACCCTCAGAGTCCTTGATGCAACCTGTTCACTTTACAGCTAGGGAGGCTGAGGTCAAAACAGGATTTTCCCAGAGCAGAAATGCAGTGAAGTACTCAGGGTCATTGATTTGTAGGGGCCCTGATCCTGAGCTAAATGGTCTCAATCTGTGTTGCTCTGAAGTGCATTTGCCTGTGTAATATGGTTTTGTTTTTCCATCTCCCTTCTGCTTGCCCATCAGGTGCTTCACTCTGCTGCCCTGGTGGGTGCCTCCCTGCCTGCCTGTCTGCGACAGCAACTCTCACCCCCAACCTGGCTGCCAATTAACCTTTAAAACTGTTTACAACCAGATCAGCAAGGGTATAAAACTGATGTGTAAAATATGAGTAAATGGGCTCAGAACAAGGGCTTGAGGAACAACTTTAGGATATCCAGGGACCATTTACACCTAAAGTCTGGTTTCTGCAGCCCGCCCTCAACAGAGAAAAAAATTGCAGGCACTCTCTAGTAATCATCAGCTCACACTTAACCCGCACATGCTTGGAGGGTGCCTCTGGAAAGAGGAGGACAATAGCTTGCCCCTCTGCTTCTCTCACTTCGGTAACTTAATATCACCCCCAAGGCTGAGAGGGGCATTAAAGATCAGGCAGTTCACAATCTCATTTACAATTGCTTCAAAAAATAAAATAAAATAAATAATATAACATAAAATAAAATAAAATAAAATAAAATAAAATAAAATAAAATAAAATAAAATAAAATACCTAGGACTAAATTTAACTAAGGAGGTAAAAGGCCTGTACTAAGAAAGTTAGAAGACACTGGGGAAAGAAATTGAAGAAGATACAAATAAATAGATGCCTGTACGCTGCTCATGGATAGGAAGAATTAATATCATTCAAATGTCCATACTACGCAAAGCAATCTATAGGTTCAGTGCAATTCCTATCAAAATACCAATAGTATTTTTCACAGAACTACAAAAAATATTCCAAAAATGTATATGGAGCCACAAAGAAACCCTGAATAGCCACAGCAATACTGAGAAAGAAGAACAAAGTTGGAGGTATCACACTACATGATATCAAACTATACTCCAAGTCTATAGTAATCAAAATAGCATGGTACTGGTATAAAAACAGACACATAGATCAATGGAACAGAATAGAGAGTCCAGAAATAAGCCCACATCTTTATGGTCAATTAATAATATATGACAATGGAGGCAAGAACCTACAATGGGGTAAAGACAATCTATTCAATAATGTTCTTGGGAAAGTTGGATAGACACATGCAAAAAAAAATGAAACTAGACCACTTCCTTATACCATATGCAAGATAACTCAGAATGGATTAAAGACATAAACATAAGACTTGAAACCATAAAACTCCTAGAAGTAAACATAGGCATTAAAATCTCTGACATTTCTCTTAGCAATATTTTTTTCTGCTATATCTCCTCAAGCAAAGGAAACTAAAGAAAAATAAACAAGTGGGAATCCATCAAACTAAAAAGATTTTTCACAGCAAAGGGAACCATCAACAAAACAAAAAGACAGCCTACTGAATGGAAGAAGACATTTGTCAATGATACATCTTATAACATATTAATATCCCAAATTTTTAAAGAACTCACACAACTCAACACCCAAAAAACAAACAACTCAATTAAAAAATGGTCAGAGGACCTGAATAGACTTCTCCAAAGAGGATATACAGATGGCCAACAGACATATGAAAAGATGCTTAATGTCACTAATCAGTAGAAAATGCAGATTAAAACCACAATGAGATATAACCTCACGCATGTCAGAATGGCTTACATCAATAAATCCACAAACAAATATTGGTGAGGATGTGGAGAAAAAGGAACCATCATACACTATTGGTGGGAATGCAGATTGGTGTGGCTGCTATGGAAAAGTGTGGGGGGTCCCCCCAAAATTAAAAATAGAACTGCCTAATGAACCAGCAATTCCACTTTGATGTAGAAGAAACCCCAAATCCTAATTCAAAAAATAAATATGTACCCCTATGTTCATTACAGCACTATTTACAATAGCGAAGATATGGAAGTAACTCAAGTGCCCATAAATAGATGAGTAAATTAAAAAAATGGTGGTCTAGACCTGGCTGGTTCAGTTGGTTGGAATGTCATCCCGTACACCAACATCTTGTGGGTTTGATTGCTGGTCGGGGCACATACCCAGATGGTGGGTTTGATTCCCAGTCAGGGCTCATATGGGCGGCCACTGAATAATATTTCTCTTTCACATTGATGTTTCTCTCTCTCTCTCTCTCCATCCTCTATCCTCTATCTCTATCCTCCCCCCTCCATCCTCTATCTCTAAAATCAATGGAAAAAATATCCTCAGAAGAGGATTTAAAAAAAAGTGGTGGTACATATATACAATGGAATATTACTCAGCCATAAAAAAGAATGAAATCTTACCATTTGCAACAACATGGATGGACCTAGAGGATATTATGCTAAGTGAAATAAGTCAGACAGAAAAATACAAATACCATATGATTTCACTTATATGTAGAATCTAAAGATCAAAATAAACAAAATAGAAACAGATTCATAGACAGAGATCAGGGTCATGGTTGCTAGCAGAGGGGGCTGGGTAAAAAAAGGTGAAGGGATTAAGAAGTACAAATTGGTAGTTACAAAACAGTCTCAGGAATGTAGAGTACAACACAGGGAATATAGTCAATATTGCAATAACTGTACGGTGCCAGGTGGGTACTTGATATCTTGGGGAGACCACTTTGTAAAGTATATGATTGTCTTACCAGTAGGTTATACATCTGAAACTAATGCAAAATAACATTGAATATAAGCTGTAATTGAAAAATAAAATTAAAAAAAGATGAGGCAGTTCAACCCCAAGTCAGATTCAGAAATCATTTTTTCTGTCTAGTTTTTCTCTCCAACCTTCTTATTGGACTCATGCAAATCCAGTGCTTGACCTATAAGATCCAGCAAAGTTTTGTCTTCAGGGAGCTCACTACCTGAGGGGGGAGACAGGCATGTAAAGAAATCCTTCAGTGGAGTGCATCGTGGGCCCAGAGGAGAGAGTGATCAGGATTCACAGAGAAGGAGATGCTTCCCGGGATCTTGAAAGATAAATTCATCAAACAGAGAAATGAGAGAAGGGCTCCAAGGAGCTCCCTATATTCCTACTGTCAGAGCCCACTGCTAAGCAGGCCTCTCCTAGGTCAGACACCCTAACTTGTGCACCACCCTTGCCTTTCCCCCAGGCTTCATTCAATCACTTTGTTGGTCAACAACCTTCCTATGCATTTCACCTGTGGAGCCTGCTCTGGGCCCTGGGGACTCCTCGCTTTGTGGAACCCCTGCCCTGATGTATAGATGAATATAGATGCATCTAGATGCATAGAGAGACAACGACCATGCATTGTTGACATGGTGTGGAGGAGGAATGGACACAAGAGGAGAGGCAGCAAAGATACCAGAGCCATTCCGGGAGATCGGGGAAGACTTTCTGCAGGAGGATCTTTGTTAACTGAAACCTGAGAGACGGAATCTCCTTTGCTCCCCCTTACATTCCTCTGAGGTGGTCTCATTATCTCCATTGTAGAGATGATAAAACTGAGGCCCAGAGAAGGTCAATGGCTCACCCAAGATCACTTGGTTAGTAAGGGAAGGTGGGGTGGGGGTGTTCACTCATGGGCACCCAGCAGTAGAGTCAGAGGGTGGCACCACTGGAAGAGCTGGGCCTAAGATGCTAGGGCCAGAGGCGGGATGTGAGAGGCACAGGGAGAAGCAGAAGCTAAGAGTCTGGAGCTGGGCGGAGGCAGCAGGACAAGCCATCTCCCCAACACGCAGTGGAGCAGGCCAGGAGACGGGAATACCCTACCAGCTACCAGTTCATGGCTTCAGGACAGCAAAGCTGGCTCAGTCCTTGGACTCCATCTCACCCAGCCTCCATTAAACTGAGGCTCAGCCAGAGCAATCGATGAGGATAAACTGTATCACAGTGGCTGGCCCTGGACTAGAACCCAGAGGCTCTGTCCCCCAGCCCAGGGCTCCATGCACAGCCCAAGCTGCCACTACACTGTTTAATTCAATCTACATTTACTGACACATGCTCTGGATCGGATGCGCTTCCAAGCCCCTTGGGAATCCCCCCCCACCCCCGCCCGCCGGCTCCCCCATCACTGCTGTCAGGCACTTTCAGCTGGCATGGGGAAGTCAGATCTGGCTCACAGACAAGGAGTGCAGGCAGCGTGTGGGAAGTGGGGCAGCAGCAGGCCTGAGCAGAGTGCTGGGGAATTGGGTGGGGGAGGACCTCAGTGTGCCCTAGACAAGTCCTTGGACCTCAGTTCTTCCATCTGGTCCAAGAAGGGCCTGGAGTCAACAATCTCTATGGTCTCTCAGTTCAGGCAGTCAGGTCTCTTATCCGTGCTTGCCATGCAGGGGTTGGAAGGTGGGGCCTGGCCAAGCTTCCAGGAGGCTGGATGGGGGGAGGCAGAGGAAGTGGCTGGAGCTGCTTGAGCCACCCTCCCCTGGTTGCCAGTGTAGGGGCTGACCCATTACCAGCAGGGAAATCACAGACTCAGCGCTCAGACATCTGGGAGGTGTTGGGCAGCCAGAGTATTTTTAGAAGGCCGGAGGCAGACATGCCAGGAATCTTGGGCGTCGCTGAGCCAAAGAAGCTGTGAGGCCAGTGGAGGGTGAACCAAAAAAGGTGGCCCCAGCTCTGGTTCTTACTTCGCTAAGGTCAGCTGGTCTTCCTTTTCCCCAGAGGCCAATGCTCAGGACTCCTGTGGACAAGCTCTGGTTTCCCTGGCTTGCCACCGGATCTGCTTCCTTCTGGGTTGTCAGGTACAGGGCTGTTACAGAGCCTCAATGTGGGATGTGCCTTTGGTCTCCACTGATTCCCTCAGCCCGCTATTTGGGTACTTTCAGTGGTCCAGGTGAACTGCTGGGCCCAAGGGATATAGGCTAGGAAGGTAGTAACCTTGGGTGGGGAGGGGGAAGATATGGGAACATAGACAGAGATAAGTCCCTGAGATTTCTTTGGCAAAGGAGCACGTATGTGCCTGAGGCAACTCAGGAGGTAACCTGCTGGTGTCCCAGGACTGCTACAAGGATCAGATGGTTATCTGTGAATGAAAATGTAAGTTCCCAAAGGGAGTGAGCTGGGGTAGGGTGAGGGGCGCACACTGGGTTATAACTGAAGGGTGACTATCAGCCTTTTCTAGAGCCATGTCTTTTCTTTTTGCATTATTTCTGAAAGATGACGTCTCAGAATTGGAGTAAAGGGTAAGAAGATCTGTTCATCTCGGGACCTATCAACTACCAGAAAAATTGCCCAGTTTGCAGGGGCAGCTCTAACCCATGGGTGCTCCTGTGCCCGCCCCATTCCCACCCATCCCTCCAGATAGGCCACTCTGTCTTGTTACAGATGAAGACCCAGACCCAGAAAGGGGCCCAGGATCCCTCAGTGAGGCCTAAGGAAGGACTCTGGCCTCTGTCTGAAACTTAAAGATTTCCACATGGTCAAAGGCACAGGAGGCACACTCCCAGGCCTGCCCATCGCAGGGAGAGGACTAGGGCTGGGCAAAGGGCAGGAGTCCGTCCCTGCACTGCGCTCTGTCGCTACTGAGTAGACCTGCACCCCGCCCCTCCTCCCAAGGATTGTCTACCTTGCCAGCCTAGTGTTTCTCAGACAAGGCTCCTCAGTTTCCTGAAGTTTTCCAGCCTTAGTCATGAGTGTCCTCAAATTCTCTACCTGAATTTTTAAGTGTTGTACCTTCACTTTAATAATAACCTAAACAAATTAATATGAGAATATTCTGGCTTGGCTGGAATGCAAAACATCTTATAAAAGAGGCGGCTCAAAGTGCCAGTGCCTGTGTCTGGCTTTATCAGCAAACTGGTTCCAAAGAATCTTCTACAGTGACCATATTTAACTTCAATGCAGTGTCTCAAGCTGACTTGTCAATTTTGAAACTCACTGATTTAGCTAAAATGCTTATTTCCTTCCTGACAGATCCTAGGCAGAGAAATAGGGCTCTCAGTTGGGGTCAGAAAGCCTGGGTTCTAATTTTATCTCTGCTCCCAGCTCACTGAATAGCCTTAGACAACTCCCTTCCTGCATCTAGATCTGGGTCTAGGTTTCTCCATTTGTAAACCGGTTGGTTTGTGTTAGACTGTCCCCATGTCCCCATCTGACTCACACCATGGGATTCCAAACTGTGATGAGCTCCCCTCTCATTCCCCTGCCACCCACAGCCCACCCCATGCCATCCCTGCCCCATCTCCGAGGCCAGTGCTGCAGTGGGTTGGTGGGTAGAGACACAGGCAGTGAAGTGGGGCCTCCAGCAGTGTGGGAGGCAGGCAGAGATAAAGCCCAGGTGGGCTGGAGGTCATCAGAAAGCAAGCCACCGGCCCAAAAGGAACTCTTACAGCAGTCAGGCTGTCTGCTGAGACTCACCCTGGAAGATCCATATCCAGGGCTCCTTCTAGGCCAGGGAGCCTACCTAGCCCTCACCTGTGTAAGAATTCCCTGAGGTTTCCCCACTCCGACCACCTCTCCTCCCTCCAGGGACTTAGAGCCACCTTCTCCTATACCCTCCCCACCCCAGCTCACACTGGGGCCTCAGAGCACAGGGGCCCCCAGGCAGTGCCAGAGCTACGCCCCTCTGACCCCGGACCAGACTGCCATCCCCCAACTCCTACACCTTGTTGCCTGCTCAACTCCCATAGATGGCCTAGATTTCAAATTAGGAGCACCCTCTGCCAAGAAGCCCTCCCAGATCCCCCACCCCAGACAGGGTCAGGGCCTCATCCCACCCTGTGGTCTGTATTGATCTCTGCCTCCACACTGATCCACTGTAAATATTTTCTGCCCCTCCTCCCCACCCTCCAGACTCCCTGCTGCCTGTGCGAATTTAAACACTGTGGAGATGACATTCTAAGAGCTTTGTATTAAAAAAAAAAAAAAAAAATCTGAAATCAGCTCTGTGCTGCACACTGCTTTTCATCAGAATTGCTGTAGTGTCAACTTGCTGTTTGTCCTCTGGGGCTGGGAGTGGGGTTCTGTTAAATCTCTCTCGCTTTGCAGGGGGAAGGTTTGGAGCTCTGTCCCTTAGCCAGGGAATTTTAGGCCTGAAAGGGCAGCTGGAGTAGGAGGAAGTGTCTGTCCTGTAGGTCCCAATGACTGTGGGCCCCAAGCATACCTGTGCTTGACAGGTTTTGGACTGGATATACTAATCTGGTGCCCTACTCTCCTGACCCATCAATTTGTCTCGTTGTTTGTCATCCTGTACCTGAAGGGGTCTCCTGGGGATACCAACTAGAGAAGTGAGTGGAGGCGCAGTCAGCTGGGAGGAAGGGAACACCAAGGGAGGGAGTGTGGGTAGGGAAACGCTTGGGGGTGGGCGTGGCATCTCCACCCCGCCTAGGTGGAGCTGGCTGCCTCCTCACCCGGTGTGAGACCTTTGGAGTTTTCAGTGACTTGATCCCCACCCTGGCCCAGCAGAGGAGCCTTCCGAGCCCAGAGGTCAAAGATCGTCCCCTCCCAGCCCCCAGGTGATCTGTTCTCAGCACGTCAGCCCAGGGAGAGCACTCTGGGCTGTGAGTCAGGGGAGTGTGTGGCTTTGGGCAGGTCATGCCTCCCCTCTGGGCCTTAGTTTCCCCATCTGCACATGAAGAATTGGGCTCTGTAAAACCTAAGGGCCCTTCCAGTCAGGACAGGGGAAGAAGGGTTCTGGCTGGGCGCCCCCATCTCTCTCATTCCATCTAATCTCACAGCCACGGAGCAGGAAAGAAACATCACGGCCCCAGTGAGGCTGCTGGGAATGAGGGTGCAGGCTGCTTTTGTGCCTTCAGGAGTCATGCCTTTGGACAGGGAGGGCCGTTGACCTGAGGTGGGGCTACCAAATTTTTGCTCTAAGCGAAGAAGGGTGGCCAAGATATATTTTGCTTGGTAGTTAAAAAAAAACCCCAAAACATTTTAACCATTTTCAGGAGTATAATTCAATGGCATTAAGTACAGTCACACTGGTGTGCAGCCATCCCTATTATCCATTTCCAGAGCTTTGCCATAATCCCAAACAGAAACTCTGTACTTGAAACAAGAACTGTAACTCCTCATTCCCTCTCCTCCTAGGCTTTGGTACACTCCCCTCTTATTCTACTTTCTGTCTCCATGAATTTGCCTATTCCAGTACCTCATGTAAGTAGAATCATCCAATATCTGCCCTTTTTTGTCTGGCTTACTTCACTTAGCATAATGGTGTTAAGGCTCAGCTATGCTGTAGTATATGACAGAACTTCATTTCTTTTAAAAGCTTCACAGTATTCCATTATATGGAACAACCACAGTTTGTTTATCCATTCATCTGTTTATGGACATTTGGGTTGTTTTTACCTTTTGGCTGTTGTGAGTAATGCTGTTATAAACATGGGTATACAAGTATCTGTTTGAATCTCTGCTTTCAATTCTTTGGGTACATACCTAGAAGTGAAATTGCTGGATCATATGGTAATTCTACATTTGACTTTTTGAGAAACCACCAAACTGTTTTCATAGTGGCTGCACCGTTTTACAGTCCCACCAGCAATGCACACATGTTCCAATTTCTCCTGTAACAGCAGGAATTAAAACAGTGGGGAATTGTAACCCCTGCCTCCCACCATTCTTTTAACATTGTTTCTGTAAAGGCTGACCCTGACTGATTTGTAGCTTGTAGATAAACAGCATGTTTATATTCTCATATAGGATCCTGACTTCAAAAGATACAGACTCCAGGCATCCCAGCTCCGGTAGACTTGCTGACCTGCAACCACAGAGCCAAGATGCTGTAAAAACCAGGATGATGTGAAGCCAGGATGACTAAACCAGGGTGATGCACACTGGATTGTCACTTGCCTTGTGCTCATCTGTGTGTAGAGAACTTGTCAATCCCCACCTTTGATCTCTTTGATCTGTTCCCCTCTCCCTCCTTATAAAAATCTCTGCCTTCACTGAGGCGTGGAGATGGGCTTTGAGACATGAGTCCCTCATCTTCCCAGGAAATGGGCTTTGAAACAAGAGTCCCTCATCTTCTCAGGCAGATGGGCTTTGAGACAAGAGTCCCCCATCTTCCAGATGGCTGGCACCTGAAATAAACTACTTTCCTTTACATCTGCACCTGCCTCTCGAGTATTGGCTTTCGAAGCAGGCAGCAGCCGGACTTGCGTTTGGTTACACTCCTAGGGACACAGTCTGGAGACATTTATTCTTTCCTTTTTATTATTTTAGAATAATAGCCATCTTAATGAGAATGAAGTGGTATCTTACTGTGATTGGCCTGGAGTTTTAAATATATGTATATTTTAGCTGCAGTGTTCTTTTCTCCGAGGAAAACTTACCCAGAGGCTACCTGAAGTCTGGGTGAGAAGCTGGCACTGGTTGACTGGAAGAGGGGGGACTGGGGAGGGGAGTGGGGGGGGGCAGCTCATGTGTGAGGGTACTTTCTCTCGGTCCCTCCTACCCTGTCCTACCCCACCCAGCTGTCCCTGAGGTCTTTCTAAGGAAACTGGCAGTACAGTATAAAATGTCCCTGACTCATGGACACTGAATTCACTTCCCTTCTGGGGTAGTAACTGGAGAAGGCCAAGTGTAACAGTGGCAGGAAGCTTCTCATTTTTTTTGTCCTTAGGAGAGGACTTAGATGGCTACATTCGGGGAGGCCGTCTCTGTTTTGGCAGTCACTTGAGGCTATCAGACCGAAATAGGCCCTGGCAGAACCAAACAGGAGGCTTTGTGGCCTGACAAAAGCTGCCCCTCCCAAAAGCAATGGGATGCAGAGCTGGGAGGAAGGCAACATACTTGCAGGAGACAAAGGAGCTCCCAGGACACACGTGGAAGAAGGCCTAGACCCTTCCCATGTGAGAATCTAAATCATTTCACTGTCTCCTAAGACAGCCATTCGCAGTGAGCTCCGGTCAGTGGGAAAGGGTTCCTGCGTCCCCAAGGGGAGCTCAGTGGTGTGGGGGAAAGGGCCTTGAACTAACTGGTGACTGGGCTTGACTCTGCAGCCGGGGACCCAGAAGCCCCTTTGGACTTTCCTCTTGGAGAAAACTGCCTGAGCTGGGGAGCGTGAAGGGAAGCTGAGACGTTGGAGTCATGCCTTCGTGGCGGCTGGGGCTCTGAGCAGTGAGGAGGAAGAAGGCTGGTGCCCAGGAGTGACTTCGGTTGAAATGAGCTAGTTTCCAAGGATTTTGAGCACTCATATGAGGTGGGAGAAAAGGCCTCCAGGGGAGCAGTTTGGACTTCCTCTTGAGAGGATCTTGTGGGAGCTCAAACAATTTGTTGGCGGGGGTGGGGTGCAGGGGCGGGGACATGACCAAAATTTGTACTCTAAGCTGGCGGAGTGACCATACCAGTTCATGCAGATCTCAAGCTCCTGGCTTCTCTAGCTTCCAGAATTGGGGCATGGTAAGGGGGAGACAAGTGTAGAATCCCTTTCCGCACTCAGGCCAGTACAAGACAACCCTGAGGAATGGAAGGGAAAGTCTCTGGGCCTCTTCCCTCACTTTCGTTCCCCGTGCGTCCTTTTCGGGTGCCCTGCGAGAGCTCCTCGCTGCTGCTCATCTTCAGGATGACATCATGCCCCTTGCATAGGTCTGCAGCCCAGGATGGTGCTCAAGGCTCAGGTTATTCTCTGTTCACTCTCTTTATCAAAACTTATCCAGCCAGTGCCCAGATCCCTCCAAACCTCTTTAGAGACACCGAGCTCAGCTAATAGAACAAATTGATTTAAGGAGTTGATGATAATGGTTAATCTAGCCAATAGACCTTCACAGAGATCATATCCCTGATACCACCCACATTTTACTCCAAAACACACCAATCTGAACAACAGATTGTAGGAATGTATCACCTCAACAGTCTTTCGGCTTTGCTGTACAAAGGTGTGATTCTATGGGAGGAATTTTAGGCACCATGAAAGGAAGTTTGGGAAAATATTTTCTTGCCTAATAGGCATTCTCTGCTAAGCCATGGAGAAGACAGCATTTTCTGCCTACATGTGAGGGTGCTCAGATGAGGCCCGGGGCTCAGGGCCAAACAGGCCAAGCCTCAGCTGTGACCTTCAGTTCTACTCCCCTGGCCAAGATGCTAAATTCCGATTTCCCATCAGTCCTGAAGCAGGTTAGACCAGTCGCCATGAACATGTGCCTAGGCAACCAAATTTGCCTGAGGTGAAATTTTGATTTATGCAAAAGGAATCTTTAGGCTGCAATGTTTTACACACCCAGCACACAAATGAAAATATTCCTTTTTGAATACATTTGGAAGGAAAAAGAAAGAGAAGCGGGATAAAGGGTAAGATAAGGGACTAGAACAGGAACCAAGGAACTGAATCCTATCAGCCATCAAACCTTTATTCAACCTGTCTACTCATCTACACCCTGTTCTTCTAAATTATTCTTGTAACCAATCAATCTTAATTCAACTAATCAATAAATGAACCAGTCTTCATTCACTCAAACATTTTGTATTTTTTGGAGCAGCCAGTTAATTTCATTTGTTCATTCACTTTCTTTAACAATCAACCTTCATTCAACCAACAAGATACTAAGTAGTCATTCAATCTTCATTCATTCAATTAGCTATTTCAAATATCAAAGCTCAAGACTGGAAGAGTCCTCAACGGCCATCTGGTTCAGGCAATTTAATCTCGTAGAAATATTCTCCATTGTAATTTTGCCAAATAGTTCCCCAGGCTTTATTGAACATCTCTAACAGTAGAGAGCTTGCTGTTTTCAAACACTGCCTGGACTGTGTTGTGGGACAGCTCTGGCTATGAGAAAATATTAATGTTCATATCTGCTTCTAGTGCTGCCTTTCAGGCCACCCAGTACAATTCGGCTCCCCTTGTCAACAGGTAAAGCTAAAGATTATGGCCTAGTCCTCCCCGTCCGGGTAGCTCAGTTTGTTAGGGTATCTACCGTCCTGATACACCAATGTTGTAGGTTCGATTCCCAGTCAGGGTACCTACAAGAATCAACCAATTGAATGCATAAGTAAGTGGGATAACAAATCGATTTTTTCCTTTCTCTAAAAAAAAAAAAAAAAAAAAAATTAATAACAAAAAAGTTTTTTAAAGTCTTGTCAGGATGATGGCCTTTCTTACACTACATTACAGATTACAGCCTTACAGCACAACTAAGCAAGAGAAGCCCAGAGCTTTTTGTACTGCAAAAAGGGTGGGGGGGAAGAAAATGGGGCAGGGGAGGCCCTGGAAAAAGAGAGGGGACTGGGGTCACTGCAGGGGAGAGAGAAGTGCTATGGGCTGTTTGATGTAAAACTCAATTCCATCTCTAGACAGAAATATTCACTACAATGACCATTTGTCACTAAGGCCTTGTGGTGAAGGTAAAGAGAAGTGTTCCTTGGCGAGGGAAATGAGCGGAGGCTGTGGTGGGAGGGTGGATACACCTGAACTGCAATTTGGAAACATGCCCAGGTTTTTTGATGGGAAGTTTAATTCTCAGCTGAATCTGGGTTTCAATCATTACTCTAAATAAAGAACCAAACATACAACATTGTACCTATAGGGCTGTGCACTTCAAATTTTCTTAAGGGGGTAAATCTCATGTTAAATGTTCTTACCACAATTAAAACAAAACAAAACAAATCAAAACAAAAACAAACCAACAAAACAAAAAACCTCCCTTCTCATCACTGCTGAAGCGCCAGCGCAGGCTGACCTAGCCCAGGGAGAGGCGGCCTTGAAATGTTGTCTCAACACCAGAGGGAAGTGTGGCTGTGAAGTTAGCATTCTGGCCTGAACAAGAACGGATTATTTTTTCTTCAGATGTATTATTCAGGATCCTTTTGATAGCGAGCCATGGAAATTCATCTCTAATGTGTTAAGCAAATCAGACAAACAAAACCCAATGTTATGCTAAGTGAAATAAGCCAGTCGGTGAAAGACAAACACCATATGATCTCACCTATAAGAGGACGCTAATGAACAAAATAAGCTAACAAACAAAATAGAGCCACAGGCATGGAAACACAGAGCAGACTGATGGCGACCAGAGGGTAGAGGGGAGGGGGACAGTTGTAGAAAGAAGGAAAGGGGACTAGCTAAAGAGCATGTATGAATGACCCACGGACATGGACAACAGAGTGGGAGTTGACTGTGGGAGTGGGCATGGGGTGGGCGGAGGAGGGCACAGGGGGCAAAACTGGGACAACCGTAATAGAATAACAATTAAAAAATCATGAAATAAAACAAACAAAACCAAACACATGAGGGGGAGGTCAGAATTATTGGCTCACGTAAATGTGAAGCCCAGGAGCCGATCTAGCTACCGTCAGGAATGGCTGGATCCAGGCACACAAGCCAAGTCACCAGGAAGTTGTCTCCCTGTCACTGCCCTGCTCTCCTCTGTGTGGGCTTCTCTCTCAGCTTCCTCTCCCCATGTGGTGGCAGCGTGGCCCCCAAGAGCTCCGTCCTGACATCATCAGCCCTGCTGGAAAGAGCTTTACCTCCCAGCAGTTCTGAGGAAAATTCCAGGACTAAGTCTCATGGGACTGACTGGTTTTTTTCACAGTCGTGGAGTTGGGAGGCTAGGTCAGCTGCACAGAAACCCCGTGAACTGAGAGCACAGGCAGGAAAATCTCCCAAAGGAAATCAAGGCGTTGATACCAGAAATGGGAATAGCAAAACAGCAGTCAGTGAAAAATGGAGACGTGCCCCCAGTAAAGTGAGCTGGAAGACTGATGTCAAAAAAGAAAAACAAACAAACAAACAAAAAAAGCCCCAGACTTCCTCATGTGACCCCAGGCGGGGAATTGCTGTTTAATTCAGCCTTGAAGGACACGTGATCTATAAAGAAACTAGAGAGTCTCCAGGAAGGGGCGAGGTGGGCTGGGGCAGATACCCTCAGCAGATTTGGGCCCCATTCCTTCCCCTTTTAGCCTGAGCTTCGGAGACAGGATTTCCTGGAGCTGGAGCTGCTGCTGGGGAGCTGGCTACCAGACAGCATTGAAACCTCTGGTGAAGGCCTCGTGCTACCAGAAAGGAGAGATGGTGGCAGGAAGTGTAGCCCCAGGGACAAGGGAGGAAGTTACTGAATTATGATTAGAGCTTCCCACTGAAAT